GCAAAGGGTAGGTCACGAGTAAAAGGATCATCCGAATACTGCCTCTCAGACGGTGAGCCTACCAACCAGCACAGATGACAACTGGCCAGCTTACCTCTTGCAGCTCGACTCGGGCGTGATACCAGCCGACGATTCTGCATCCGTCAGACCAGCTGACTGTTCAGCATCCGGTTGTACCGAGTCTTTTTTAACTCTCTAGAGGACAGGGAGAAGAAAGGAAGGATAAGACATGTGTTTAATATTTTTCATACATAAGTATAGTTTCGAGGCTACCAGTAAATCAGTTATGAAATGTATTCACCCTATTTCGTTTAAAGTAGTCTCAAAACTCTACTTATATACGAAAACTAAGTAGTGTAGTAGATTGTTATAGCAAAATTAGGTTTTCTTCATCGACAATCCCACCGAACAATGTGATATGGGAAAAGGCCTGGCCTTCATTGAAAGTCACATCTGCTCTGTGACCCAAGGCCACTTGCGGCAATGTGGCCAAATTTTAACGTGTCAAGCTCCCATTCCGCATTGTCACGGTTCGACGCCCGCTGGGGGTGTTGCTAAGACCTAGGCGAGGACGAAACTGCAGTCCACTGGTGCCTGGATGAGAACAACTTTGGAGAAAGCAAGACAGTGTGAAATTGAATGGAAGCGTCAGCTATGCTCATGTCATTGTGTGGTAATTCTACTACCAGTCCTTCGTCACCTTAAACGAAATAGAGTGAATACATCTCATATGTGTTTGATAAGCAGAGCGCAACCACTGGAAATAGTAGTGCTCATAAGTAGACCAGTACAGATAGGATTCATAACTTGAGTCTGATGCCGATTTCATGAGGTTATAACCATCGCCAGCAGAAGAGTAGATCACTGTCTAGCGGTAGTCTGAGAGAAGACGCCGTTATTTAAAGACCCCGAGAGCTAAGGGAAAAGTGGTGCATAGAAAGAAAGGTACTGAATATTGTCTCGTTCCAACAAGGAATTAAATGATGATGAGGCTGAGTCTTCGACCCTGGATGGTGTTCGAACAACTCAATATGAATAAGTGTCGAAATTCTAAATTCTAGGTGGCTTAAGGTGTGATATTTTTCTTTTATTAGTAGGCTTTTGAGATTACCAGTAGATGCATTCATTCAATTCTGTCTCGAGTGATAAGGGGACAGTTAGTTGCATTTTCACACAAGCATATGAATTTTGCATAGCTTTGCTTTCCCAAAAGCTATTCTCATCCAGGATGGACTACCGTTTTGTCCGTATGAACAAGAAATTATTTGTCTTCCGAAAGAGCTGTAGAGTAAACATGTCCACAATCGGATTGTCCGCTTCTTCTCAAAAAGATGTGTAGAAAAATTTGTCGAGACTAGTCCGCTTCGACAATGGACAAACTCCTGACAGCCGCTCAACTGTAAAACTGACAGAGCTCTCGTCCCGAATGTGTTAACACGTCGGCTAGGCTTTAAGGGCAAATCATCATGTTCACATTTCTCGTTCTGGTACAGGCAACTGTAACGTCTATGACGTATTTTTTCGTGATTTAAGAGGACATACACTGTTGCCGCCCGAGTTCATCAACCTCCGACAAGATTGACTCTGCCTTGGCGACATACAGCGTCGACATGAGGGCTTGTCTTGACGTTTACATGTTGCAAATGACTCACGCACATTCAGGCTGAGTGTCTAAGAGGTGAAATGGGGCTGTTTGACGCACACCGGCTGGTTTCGAATCTTGAAGGGAGTGCGGATGAGACCTGCGGAGCCCTCTGGGTGGTACAGTGAGGCCATCGCTTCAGTTAACTGTGGAAAACTCAATCGTCAGGCTCGCAGTGTCCATCACAGCTCGGTGACTGTTCTCACGCTCAAATGTTTCGAGCAGTAAATCGCATGCTCTTGCAGACATTTCGTAAGATGGTGCAAGACCCCTGGACTGAAATAAAAGTGGGGTTCTTTCAATCGTCGAAGAGTACTTGGCCCAAAACCGCTCTAAGCACAACAGAGGATCAGTCTCGAAAGAGGCAAGATCGGATGAGTCAATGAATAAGGCCTTCAAATGTATGCATCAAACAAATAAGCGAACCGAAAGTTAGCCACAAAAAGTAGTATAAAGACTTAAAAATCTTCATTCTTAATGAGTAGATTTCGACGCAAACAGGATATCCTGAATAAGAGTTGTTGGCCTCCCGGGTCGCATAAAGTGAAGAAGGGCACAAAAGATCTTGTGGAAATATTAAAATACCAGATCATCATCACCTTATGCGAACTAAGGTGACCACAGCTCTTACTCAAGATCTGATGATATTCATGGAATGAGATGTATTCACCCTATTTCGTATAAGGTGATGAAGAAA